GAAAAGAAAGATCTCTTATCTGAATACCAAAGTTTAAAACCTACATTATCAATCTCCTTAGCCTTTTCTCCCACCCACTTAGTTTCTTGAATACATAAGATATTAATTTTCCTATGAATCATAATATCAACTAATTCCATTAATTTACCATTGAGAGTGCCTATATTCCAAGATCCTATCCTAATATTAGTTTCATTAGAAATGGAAAGGCCACATTTGCTGAAAACTACAATGCCTCATAATCATACCCCTGAACCATTGAGAGAACCAGTGGTGGAAGTCACTCCCCAAGAAGTCAACTACCCAGTGACACAACAATGGAGGATACTGAACCGATTGAAGTTAATGCTGATGTGCTGGCTGTGGGGAGACAATCTTGGAGGATGATTGGGAAATACAAAATTATAGAAGGAAAAGAAGAGGTACTTTAAAACTGAGACACTTATCAGAAGACGTATCATAATTGCTAGGAGTTCATCTTATAATCAAAAGGTTTCTTCCCTGTCTAGGTTTACTAGAGTTGGAAAATCTCTACACCATGATTTACATTCTGTGCTAGAATGTTGGGGGAATCGCTAGCCCTGATTCCCTTAGCATGTTACTACATTTAAAAAGGGTTTACAAATTTTGTGTGATAGCTTTACTGGAACCTATGGTTTGCAAAAATCAGCAGAAGATTATTAGAAAGCTCCATGGCTTTAACTTCTTCACTAATCTCAACAATAAGATTTGGGTATTCTGTAGGCAGGAGATCAACTGTAGAATTCTTGTGGACAATTATCAATTTGTCCATTTAGATTTCACATTTGATTAGCTCAAAAGTAGTGCAACATTCATATATGCAGGTTGCACTAATTCTGAGAAAGCAGATCTGTGGGGACATTTGATTCATTTTAGCAAGAATATCCAAGGCAGCTAGATAAGTGGAGGAGATTTTAATAGCATTACAAGTTCTAAAAAAATGGGAGGCAGATTACCTGATATTAACAGTATGTTGAACTTCTCAAACAACATTAATGCATCAGGCCTTTTTGACTTGGGATTTCAAGACTGCCCTTTCACTAGGAAAAGTGGGAAGATATTTGGAAGACTTGACAAATTCTTGGTAAACAAACACTAGCTGGAACACCTCACTCACTCATATGTTAAACACCTCCCCAGTACTGGTTCAGATCACAGTCCTCTACTGCTCACAATTACTATGGTGGAGAAAACATCCAAGCCTTGCTTCAGATACTATAATGTATGGTCGGAACATCAAGATTTCATGGAAGTGGTTACAAGAACATGTTTGTCTGAACCCTATGTGGAAAATGTACATCCTGTATGTAGGTTATGGAAACTTTAAAAGAAACTGGCAAGGGTGCTAAAGAAATGAAATTGGGATACGTTTGAGAATATCTACCAAATGGTTACTCAAGCTGAACAGAATGTGGCAAGGTTTGGGGAAACTTTCTGTAAGAGTGTTGGAGAAGGAGAAAAGTGAGATATTTTTTTCCTGCATTTCTAAGGAAAGACTACAAAGGATTTGCTTTGAGAAAGAGTTTTCATATAAGTATTGTTTGTTTATCAGTGTTGTATGAACTTTCTTTTATATATGAAATTTGTGCTTTGTTATTTCTTTTTCATGAAGTCTGAATAGTTCCCTCTATCTTTCTCCCTACTCTGAGATACGGTGAAATGAAGAGATAATATGGATGTGTTAATATTAAAAAATAAAATAAATTGTGATGATTTTTTAACTCTGAACTTAATTTACTTTTCGATCTGGTCAACTCTGAACGAAAAGTCTAAACAAGAAAAGTACACAAAGAATGACTTGAAGGAGCAACAACAACAATACATCCCTCTAATCTCTAATCATTCCCTGGCTCTTATGGATGGCTAGAAACAAGTCTAAACATGAAAATCTGACTGTATCAAAAGTGGTTATCTATACCAACTGCATCTCCTATATAACTAGAATCAGGAATATTTTTCGTCAAACTTATTGGGAGATTGGTTCACTAAAGGCACATGTAATACAAAAAGTGATATGGAGAAGGCCTGCTCAATCACACTGATGAAAGTTTCTCTTAAGCTGTTGCTGGAATTGGAGGTGTCTGCAAAGATCATTATGGAAATTGTCTTTGGTTCTTTCAATCACCCGTGGCTACCAACAATACCTGACTGAATCTGCGCGGTTTACTGGGCTCTGAAGCTAGCAATATCATTATAATTCAAATACATACATATGGATTCTGATGCCTTACAAGTCATCCAGAACCTATATAAGAACTCCAACATCCCATGGCAGGTCATCCACTGAATCAAAAAGTTCTCCCTCTTAACTAAATCAACAAAACTCATCTTGACACATATCCCCAGGGAAGGAAGTCAACCAACGAACTGGCTGGCCAAAAATGGTTGTAATAGTGGAGAGTTTTGTGTTCTATTAAGATTTTGCTTCATGGAGATTTCCTGGAATTCCCTTATATCAGAAATATTTTATTAAGCTTAAATTGTTTAGAAGAAATAATTAAATGAATATAACAATTAGGATAATAATAATAAAATAATTAATATTATATATTATATCAAAGGATCAAATAAAGAAAAAATTGTCTTCTAATAATAAGATTAACTTGTAATAAATTAATAATAATTCTTTATGCATTTGACTTTAGATTTTTCATTGGAGATAAGTGATGCAAATATCTAAAAATATCAGTGATTGATGTGAGTACTCATATTCTTAAATTATAGTATCATTTTGATCTCTTCTAAATCAGTTTTATTGGTTATTATTTATGTTTGATTAATGCAATTGAAGTTTGATTAATGCAATTAATTTTTCTATTATTAAGTTATCATTTTTATGTGATTGCTTATAATTTAATATTATGAAATATTTAATGCATTATAACATTACATGGTGAGCAATGTGATTTGCTAGATTGGTTATATATGCATGACTGACTATGATGAAATTATAAATGATATGATTTGCATAGATTGGTTTTATATGCTTGGCTGACTATGATGGAGTCACCATTTAATGGTACTAACCTGGGGGGGGATACACTAAGGTACCCATGCATATATATGAAAAAAGATTTTGATATTGATGTCTTAATTGACACAATTTTTAGATGATGTTCCTGTAACCATTTTACAAATATAAAACAATATTGATATGTTATTGATATAGTAAGACTCATTGAATAACATGTAAAATGTTTATATTGATTTATTAAGAAGCTTAACTGAAATGCATATTATTATTTTTTTTCTTTGCATTGTTATAGTTTAAGAGTATATGTATTCACTAGCTTGTTTAGCTCCTTGTTATTTTAAATTAACTTCTCAAATTAATTTAACTGATTAAAATATGAACGTTAGAATAGAAAATCTTTATAAAAGATGCGGACAACCAATTATAAGGTAAATCTAATTTTATTTTTTTAATTTGAATTGATTGGTAGCTTTTTTATCTGTTAAATAGTAAATGAATATAGAAACCTTGGTTCCCATTGTCTGACTGTCTGTTCCTGTGTTTGGTAATTCTAATTCCCAAGCCGGGTCTTGATAATTTGGGTATGTTTTTTAAATTTGTAGGCATTTTAATAAGCTAAGAGGTGCTCTGGATCACTGGATGGATAGATACTTAGCAGGTTGTGGTTGGCAACGGCGTTGGGACATGTACTATGAGGCTCTCTAGTATGGACAATAAGTGTAACATCATGGATGTGGAGGTGGGCTGATGTGCGGCATTGTGAGCGAGCTATGGGAGAAGCAATGATTGTTTTCAACCTTATATTGTTAGAGTGGGGATTATTAGTGATTGGCCCAGTCAGGTTGGGCTTGTCCTTTTTTTCTTTATATATATTTAATTATTTATTGAAAACCATATAACTAGCTTTATGCTTCATAAACATCATTAAGTGGTTTGGAATGAATTTGTACATTTATATGCCAATTTGGGCGTTTCCAATTTGCATAGCTCTCACCAATGCAAAAGCCTGGGAGTTGTTGAACGCAGCTTCACCCCTGCTTTTATATAGATTGTTTTAATTACTTGAACAAAGCTCCGGATACACTTGAGGCAACTAAATTACGACTTCGTCGTTTGCTAATGTATGCCAATGTCATATCCAAATATTAACTTCCTAGATAAACATTTTTGTGCTTAATTAAAATTTAATAAATTTATTTCTAAGGTTGTAATATGAGGGCATCTCATTTTGGATTGATCCAATCAAGTGTCTCTATAATTCCAAACAATTTTTACAAATTTATGCGGCATGCTTACCAGGAATATTTAAAGTTGAAATACATATGGTTCTTTTCTATTTTTTTTTATGCATCTGTCATCAAATCAAATGACCATGAAGCAAATTTTGTGTTATAGCATATGATTAATACCCTTCATTTAATGGGATACATGGATGATTTTCCTGGTGCATCCAGATCTAAGCCCATGTGCTTCTATGTGTATGTTTTTTCGCATTGAATCAGTCACTTCAGATCACTTATTTAAATGATGATGCTGAATCGGTTTTAGGTTTTTGTGCTCTCTAGTGACTTTATACAGTGAAAAATATTATATTGCGCAGCTCAAACCCCACAACAAATTCTGATACATGGCCTCTAAGATTGATAGAGAGAGAGAGAAAGACAGTTTTTAACTTGTTATCACAAATTTTTGTGTTGTGGGCCGAATATTACAGCCCTACTCTTACACACTCATAATTTCAGAAATTGTGAGCACTGCATATTCTGTTGGTAATGAAAATCTAATACAATGGCTTATCTGATTTTTTTCCAGGTATCCAAAATTCTCAGAAGTCCTCTTGAGATCCTTGGAAAGTCTTTCAGCCTTGTCTTCTTTGCGGCAAGTCATGTCTTGCACATTTTATCATATTAATAGCTACTCAAATGAGTTCTGCATTTTGTACTTGACAACTGCCATTAAAGGAGAATCATTAATCCAATCGGAAATAGAATAGCATTCTCACTAGAAGCTTGTCAAGTTGTATTTTGTGTTTCCCTCTTTTTGTAACGAGAATCATTAATCCGAGTGGAATGGGAATGTCACTCGAGCAATTTCTCATTAGCTTTCTCGTGCTTATATCCTAATATATGCATCATATCATAATCTATATTTAGGAATGGGGCGATCGCTCAATGCTGGCTACCATTGCCTTGGGGGCTGCACAGGTATAAATAGTTTTTTATCTCTTCGTATTTCTGGTAATTTATCTGTATGAATGTCTAAAACTGGTGATATTAAAATTTTAATATTCACTTTAGTCTCCTTGGGGTGTCGCCTGTGGAGCAATCGCCGGACACCTGTTTGCAACATCTCTTGCTATATTAGGTGGAGCTTTTCTTGCCAGATACATTTCTGAGAAATTGGTAGAAATATACGAACCTAAACTTGTAATTGAAACTTTTTTTTTATGAATATATTTATTTTAATAAACCTAACATATCTGTTATGAGCTAGGTTGGCTACATTGGTGGACTGCTGTTTCTGATTTTTGGTGCAGCCACACTTTTGGGAGTTTTTTGAATGTTACAAGTCTGCACTGGAGTGATGCTAAACCTAAAGGAATTATCTTTATTTGTAAAATAAATAGCAGAGTGATGGCTTTCTTTTTTGCGGCTGTATCTTTAGTTTATACAAATGAAATGCATTATTAAAATCTATTGCTGCCTTGCCAGCTAATGTATTGTATATACTTTCTCTAGAGATGTTGCAGGAATAAAAGCCAATGTATTATACATACTTTCTCTAGAGATGTTGCAGGAACAGTTCATTTTTATACTTTTGAATCAATAATTTGTGCTGCATATTCTGGATGATTAACGCTGCATCAATTTAATGATTAATCATATGAAGTGAGTTTTTATCATGAAGCTATAAATTCATCAATATGATCAATGCAGCAATCACAGGAAAATTGCTGCTGAAAAAAGTTATCATAACATTATATAAACAACATCCATCACTTTGCATCAATTAATAATGTTATGTCTAACACAATTCTTTTACCAACTCGCAGAATTTTAAGTTCATGGTAGTATCAGACTGCTTCCATCGTATAGAATAATTGGGTTTGAATAATAAAACGGTGTGTTCCGGTGAGTTTTGACATGGAAAAACGTGGAAGAATCCATTAACGTGAAGGTAATGTATTAGGTATCGTTGAAATGGCTTCAGAACTAAAAATAAAAAAAAGGGAATAGCTGAAACGTGTACATTATCAAAGTGCATCATCCCATCAATAGATTTTAGCCACCACCTTGACCTTTCTCTCTAGTTACCTATATTTCTCATCAATAATCCTATATATATATATATATATAGCTTCAATTGGGTCAACTGTGCAATATACTGCCTTGATGATAGTTCTAAATGTGTTCTGTCAAGTAAATATAAAATTTTGTATCTGTAAAGTTGAAATAAATATAAAAAATTTAGAGAGAGAGAGAGAGGAGAGGGATTTTAATTTTATTTTGAGATTAATATGATATAAGAACCAATTGATTATCTATATGCTTTATTTATATAAAATAAATTAATAACTTTTAAATAAAGTTGGTTGGTCAAGATAGGCCCAATTCTGTGAATAACTAAACAAAAGAAGTCTAATAAAAATTGAGGAGAAATAATCTCACATAGTTTCTTCATCTGTGTCAATAAAGGTTTGGTTTTATGAAAATTAGAGAGCAATTTTGAAAAAAGTAATTGAACTCACATAGTTTCTTCATCTGTGTCAATAAAGGTTTTACGAAAATTAGAGAGCAATTTTGAAAAAAGTTATTGACAAATTTATATTTTTATTAGAATTGCTTACCTCACCCTGTTACTTGTTATATTTACATTATGTGTAATTATCTCAACAAAGTTATTAGAGTTCATTCTGTGTATTTTCTATTCTTCCTCTTATGCACTTCCCTCTTCTAAGTTTGCTAAAGATCTACATGTGATAATTATAATTGCACTAAACTATTATTACACACGGGTTAATATATTTCAAAATATTTCAAAATATAAATCATAATTTGGAGGCACATCTATATATGTATAATGCACTATAGGGCGGGCTTACTAAGGCTTGATAGGGAGAATCTATTGAGCATGGTTCAGAAGATGTTCTAGACACATTTGTTGGCCAAATTCAAGTAGAGTCAATCATCATTTATTAGAAACACACCCACCAATTTTAAGGTAAATCTACTTATCGGGATTAGGGGTGAGTCGACTTATGAGATCATAAAGAGCATGTTATACCTACAATGAACTTGCTTGACTAGCCCAATTCAATTTCTCAGCCAAACTTAAGAGTTGTTGTGTGAATCATACTTAAAGAACTAATGATTTCCTCTAGATCCACTAGCCCGGTATTAGCCTAACTTCCAATACTACAAACCTCTTATAATTTTTTTTAACAAGAAATCAATTAGCCTTTGCTTTGTACTTTTTTTTAATGTATATAAACTAATTTGTAGCATTACTTTTAGGAATGGCAAGTAAAAGGAAGTAGATCATAACTATCAAATGACTTTTACTTATAAACCATTGAAGCCGAACTGTTTACTAATTTCAAGACCTTGCACATTTTGGCTTGTGCCAAGGAGAGAATGATTTGGATGACCTTTTTTCATAATTTAAGCCTATACTTGATATCAAATGTACGTTGAAGGATAGGTTATTATTTACACCCTGAAGGAGTTCTTCCTTAGGTAATTTTTTTTTATTTACTACTTACGATAAAATTATGTCATCCACTAGGTTCAAAGAATAATCATGGCTCAATTTACTAGCACTTAGAGGTCACCAATGAGTTCATATGTTTTATTAAGAAAAAGTCAAGAAATTTTAAAAAATCAATTGTAGTTTCATGCAAATTTTCAAAAGGAGGTCCCAAAAGTCAAAGATCAAGAGTTGATAGCCACCTAAGCCGCTTTGACCCAAGGTCTTTATGAAAGAATTTTCCAATATGCACTTGATCTATAGTAGACAATTTTTTTTTTGTGGAGTTCTTGAGCCCCAGAATACCCATCCCAATGTTAATAAAATATATAAATGAATGGAAGTGCCAACTTCAAGATGTCCTCATGGCTTTGATTAAGGAAGTTACATCAAATTTTTAGGAACCAAAATAGCATTGATCTAAAGTTTTTAATTTTAAGAGGATTTATTTATCATTAGCCTTATCCTCATAGCCTCAACTATCTCACCGTCAATGAAGGTGAGTTCAATTCATGAAAAGTGATGATCAAAGAAGAGGGAAGTCATCATTGTGACTAGTCACCCATTTAATTTCTCAAAATAACTTCATTAAAGATATTTATGGCCCATCTAGTAGAATTCATATAGAACAAAGATTTTTTAAAACATCTAGCATCTATAATGATTAGTCTTTATTTAAGGGATATGACAAAAATAATGTATTTTTGTAAGGACCATGGCCATAACACTAACGTTTATCACCACTTTAGATCCCTTATTAAAGAACTAATTAAAGCTTTGAAACTCAAAGAATTTATATTCATTTATCTTGATTAAAGATTTGTTAAATAGTTTCTAGAAGGTATAAGCAAACCTATTCTAGTGTGTGTGATCCACATCACAAAAATATCCTTAGAAGATCAAAAGAAGTTGCTCATTATGAAAGCATCAAACGACTTAGATTGTACAAGTTAACTTAGAAACCATTGTGCATGCATCAATGCTTGATGTCATCATATCATATTCTCAAAGGTCGACAACCCTTTAAAGGAGAATCCCTATAATGATGCATGGAATATACAATGTTGATTACTAAATTCTAGATTGACATCATGCATATTGATAAAGGGCACTCAATAAATACCTTTTTCAAATGTATTTTTTAGAAGATGAACATTGATGTGTTCCATTTATCTTATAATATAGTCTTCTCTTATGGATTTTTATTTGATAATGGAAAGGAACAAAAGGGATTACCACACCAATAATTACTTAGGTGGAAGGAGATTGCTAGTATGTAGTCATGACTGAGCTCATCATCCTCAATTCCCTTTTGACATATAATGATATATTCAACCATATCTTCTTACTTAATGCTTTTGACACCTGATTTTAAATACTAAATTCCAGTTAAGTTTTAAGTTGGAGGTTTAAGTCACTGTGAAAGGCCACCAACAACGATCATAAACTTATTACTTAAAGGCCATGAAGAATATTAAAGAATAAGTTATAAGAATACAACTTTGGAAGATTCAAGGCTATATACCATGAAGGAAATCAAAGAATAGCTCATTAAACAAAAATAAAGTGGCACCATCTGAATTAGCTATTTTCTTAATGTCAAGTACAAACCAAGTTGATAACAAATTCGAGGAAGAATATAGGTATTTTATTGGTAAGCATTCAAAATACTAGAGGTTGACATAAGCAGGCATTGCCATCTTTTGAATGTTAATTGGAAAATAAAGCTAATATAGGATAAAACAAGTTAAGTTATCACCACACTTGCCAAACATATTAGATAGAATTTTGTAAATTTCTTGAAGAAAGAAGTCTAATATCCAAATTGAATTTTAAATGTATGTGTTTACCTCACTTCTGATGAGGTCAAATTCTTCTCTTTAGAAGCTAGCCCTGCGATTTTCCTATAGACTATCTTAGAGGACCATTAAAGGAAATCCATACCCAACATAGAAATTTAAAATAATTCTTGACTTCTCTTGTGAAGTCCCACTTGAGTGGTCACAAGCCCCCAAATGTCATTTTGGGATGGCTAAGACCAACATGTAGAGACTCAAGGGTGAGTTCCTAAAGGTTTAACTAGGCCTTAGGACAACCTTGGGTGGCTCAGGTTTGGTCTCACACACATCTACACACACTCAAACCCATCAAATTCCCCAGATACCCCAAAACCTTAAAATCACATACACTGGACCTACCTCCTCAACTCTTTGGGAACTCGGATGGGTGATCCCAAGCCCTTAGGGTATATTTGGGGCAGCTGCAGCTTATCCAGATTATCCTGATAAGCTACTTATCCTGATAATTTGGTGATAAGCAGCTGTTTCGGATAATCAATCTGTCTGTTTGGTTTGTGAGTTTTGAGAACAGCTGATTCTGAATAAATGACCAAAATGCCCGTTCTATATAAACGTTACTGCACATCGTTGTGTCCACCGATAAGTATAAACTGGAGCAGAGGAGCGGCAGAGGATCAAGGAGAAGAAAAAATAAAGGTTACCTGTGAGAAAAAGATTGCCGGAGATGGAGAGATACGAGGATCAATTGTCGGAGGGAGACGCGGATCGCTGTGCGGAGTCGGCGACGATGTCTCCTCTTGCTGCGAACTTTAGGGCAGAAGAAGGAGGCCACTGAGAGGACCTCGATGCGCTTTAATGTCGCTTGCTACGAGCTACGCTAAGGCAGACGAACGGGAGGGGGGGATGTCACGGATCAGAATGACGGACGAAAGAGAGGGGAGGAGTTCGCAGATCGCGGAGAGGAACCTAAGCAGAGGAAGGAGGGCATATAGTGTCTTTCGACACTATTCAACCCCGCAATCCGCATCTAATACAAAAATGAAAAAAGAGTTTTATAATAAGCCCTGCAAACGCAATTTTCAAACAGACGGTGACGTTTTGAAATCACCACCATTGCAAATAAGCTGTCTTAAACACAGCCTTAGTGTTTGGTTAAGATGGTTAAGAATACATGTGGAAACTCAAAAATGAGTTCTCATTTGGTGTCTTATGGTCCCAAGATGGCTATCCATTACATGATTACCTTACCAAAGTTACCCAAAATTCCCAAGTTGACCGT